TTTTTTTTTTTTTTTTTTTTTTTTTGAGTTTATGGCTTATGTTTTATATGGCCGCACACGTTTTTTTGAAACTGCATTTTCATTATGGCTTTATTTATTACAAAGATATTCTTTCATTATCATTACACATTGAGGCCCATCCTTCTTTTTTAGGTACAACGATCTACCTTAAATTTTCTTGAGTTTAGGACTATTATGTGTTTAAGTAACTTAAAATGCTAACCCTAAAAAAGCGCGCAAAAAAATTTGTGTTTTTAATTCTAATTTCGTCAGAATTGATCAAAACTCCCTAAAATGTGCAATTTTTAGAGGAAATTGGCCTATCTTTAAAAGACATGTGCGCGAAGCGCGCGAAATCGGAGATTTTTAGGCACTTTCAGGGGGTGAAAAGGGCATCTTCAAAGGGTGGGGAAAGATTTTCCACAGATGGATATTTTTCCCTTGTCCTCCGGTGGTTATGCCACTGCGGAGAATATCTGGCGGCTTAGATCAAAGGAGCTATGGACATTTTTTGAAGTGGAGAAGTGGTTGCATGGTGTTGTGGGTCTGGTCATTATGATATCTTCCTTTTTATTCTTGTCTTTATTTTTCTCTTCTCTTTTTCTTTTCCTTTCCCTTTCCTTTTATAAAAAATCCAGACCCCCATAACCCCACCCCGTCCCTTTTTTATCCACACCCCGACAAAACACCCTCTCTAACAAGCCTTGAAGAATAAAACACTTCTTATGTCTACTAAATTCATCAGAACAATAGGGATGCCATAATCAGTACGTGGATGTTTCAGCTTTATAAAGGTGTATTACCAACTCCATCCCCCCCCCCCGGGTAACACCAATTAACTCCCTGGGGTATCGACTTAAAAATAGAAGATTTCTGTTCCCCAACCTATTTCCAGCAAACCTTAGAAAATTTCATCGCAATAGCTCAATGGGAACTGTGTTGTTGCTAAGGAGTTTCTTTGACCGCTGCTGTGATTTTTCTTCAATTTTTTTTTCAATTTCTTCAGTACTTTTAAAGCCCTTTTGCTCAGACCTTTATAGTCCAGTTTAAAGAGAATAAATATAATTCAAAATAGCTTAATTTTACACATAATTGTGCGATTCAGGTCATTGAGCCCTCATTATAGAGTTAATGATGTGATCTATTCAATTACATTAGAAGAAATATTTTGATAGAGTACGAGTTTACAGCCCTTTTGTGATCTTGGGTCACAATTTATCTTTGTAGTCAAGGCTGGTGACAACAAAAGGAAAATAAAGAGTTATGATACCACATAATTTTTCATTAGTAATACAGTAATAATATGGATTTATAGAGCGCATAATGCATAAAGCATCTATGCGCTAGACCTTTGTTTTTAGTTTGAATCCCTATGAACTATACTACCTCTTAAGCTATTAGCATTCCGTTAGCTTTGATCAGGATAGGAGGCGCCCGGATTCATCAGGTGTTGACCAGGATTCATTTCTATAGATCCTGAGTTTTCAAACTCTGGATCACGATATTTTGTCTTTTACATTTCCATACATCTCTACACTTGTTTTTACAGCGCATAGAGACTTTTCGTATTGTGTACTTAACAAATTTAAAAACCATTAAAGCATTAAGTCACTTACTAGTTAAAATTCCTATACTCAGAAAATACTGATAAACATCATGAGCAAAATATGACCACATTTGACCACAGACCAATGCTGTACCCCCAATAAATGCTGCGTTCCGATGTCCTTGGCTACAACTGATCCAGCCGCAAGCAAACCCTTGAAAAAGAAAGAAAAAAAAAACCAGAGAAATGGGTAGTTAGCGCATTATGTATATAGCGTACGGAAGAAAAATATGAATTATATTATCTTGATATTATTATTATTTATTATTACAATTACAATCATAAAATCGCTTTTTCCCCATATTTGAGCTATATATATAT